GCCCTCTCCATGTCAAGTTAAACCAAGGTTGTATAATAAGGTTGGTTACTCTCCATGTCAAGTTAAAACAAGGTTGTATAATAAGGTTGGTTACTCTCCATGTCAAGTTAAACCAAGGTTGTATAATAAGGTTGGTTACTCTCGATGCTCCAGTGTACGGAACATGTTGTCTCCTAAATAGTTAGATAAAAACCTAATATGACATTACTGATTGTCGAGGCGAGAGTGACGCATATTAGGTTTTTACATGTCTATCTTAGGAGAAGACATTTTCCGTATCGAGAGTAACCAACCTTATTATACAACCTTGAGTTATTTTTTATTAAAACTATTGTAACAGGGATGGTTGGGGTGTTAGGAAGGTTTAAAAAAGTCCAAAACACCCATTAAAAATACACACAACGACTCGATTGCTATACTCATATTTAACGGCATAAACTTTTTAATTAGTCAAACAAAAAATCCGTGAAATTCAGTACAAACTCGGTTTTCTGAATGAATGAAATATTATCATTTTTTATCCCCATAACAAATCTTGGTACTTTAATGTTCAATAATCTATTCTCTAAGGCATTTGCCATTATAAGTTACCTGCACTTGCCGCGTTGAATTACAATAAAAGAGAGATTAGTATATGTTTTAGGGTTAGTGAAGGTTAATAGACTTTTTGGGCCGAGCGCTGTGAAAAGGCCAGGCTAGTGGGCCGAGCGCCGCGGCTAGGACAGTCTCTCTCTTTGTCTTATAATTCAAAGCGGCATGGACACGTAACTTCCTTGCGCTTTGCGTTTTCTTTTGCATCTTAAACTGGTGTTGGTTCCTTGAAAATCTGACAAGGGTGTTCAAATTTCGTTTTCAACCATGGCCTATTTCTGCAGTTCGGAAAATGCATCGGTGATTATTTATTCCCTTTTCTATCCCTGCACCTCTCCTATTTATGCAATTCTTCTCTTATACCGTCTCTCCCTCCTTCTTTTTCTAAACCTTCCTCTTCTTTCAATCTTTATTCCTTTCTTTTCTTCCTTCTCCTCCACTCTCCCCTAACCTCCACTACCCCGCCTTTCCTTTCCAATAAAATGTACTGCATCGACCGCTTCCTTGTAAAATCTTTTTAATTAAAACTCCATAAAATGGCTGAAACTGGTTGCACCGTAAAAATAAAATTCTTGAATCTAAAAAGAGATTTATAGGATCGTAACTCTGTGAAGGAGTTCCTGTGAGTTTAGACTGGTACACTCGTATACTCAAACTAAACTGCAAGCTTTCAGGTTACTTCATACATTTCAACATTCTCTTTACATTTTCCTTTCAGATATTCTTACATTCCCAGTTTAGATATTTTTACATTCTCAGTCTAGATATTTTTACATTTTCATCTGAGATATTCTTACATTCTCCTTTATGATATTCTTACATTCTCATTTAAGATATTCTTACATTTTCATTTTAGACATTCTTACATTTTCCTTTAATCTATTCTTATATTCTCCAGCCCGCGCAAAATAAGTGTTCACTATGGTTTACAGGGTTACCCATAGTCAAGTTTTTAAGACAATGGCGCAACACAAAACGTTGGGGTGTATGACTTTTAACTAATCTTGAGCAGAACAAAATAATAGAAAGACTTTGATAACAAACTGGAAATAGATTTATTGATATTTCGTTTTTATTTGTATGCGTGAGCTTGTGCCCACAATCCTTATCCAAAAATAAATTATTATTAAAGTTAAAAAATTCTTATATTCTCCTTTATGATATTCTTAGATTCTCATTTAAGCTATTCTTACATTTTTAATTTAGATATTCTTACATTCTCCTTTAGATATTTTTATATTCTCATTTCATACATTCTTACATTCTAGCATCTACGTAAGTAGATGTTATTAAATAATTCTCCTAGATATTGTTGATTTCCTTACTGTACATTATGACATGTTTCTTCTTGATAGTCTAACATTCTTGCATTCTTACCCCTTTCTAGATATTCTTACATTTTCGTCCCTTTTAAAATTCATTTACTATTCATTTAGTGAAATCGGTTTTTTAGCGTATTTTCTAAATATATCGCAAAAATTTATTTTTCCTTAAATGCCTTCTAAGGAATATTATGAAACTCCCTTTTTGTCAAACATTTATAAGTCGCCTGTTTTTCTAGACATATTCCTACTATTTATTTCCATCATTTCCATAAAGAATACAAATTTTATCTATTTTGTTGTTTTTAAGTTAGAAAATGGAAGAAAGGTTAAAATTCACACCATGTTCTCAAGAAAATCGGAACAAATTTTCCACCCAGAGAATTCTTTGCTCGGGAGAAAGATTAATCTTTTTTAAAACTGTGTTTTTTCATTTAATTTTTCTTCTATTCGACATAAAATATTAGATATTTTTTGCTTACAAACAACAACAAGTTAACATGGCAAGTTTAGGATGGAAGAAAACTGGAAAGTGGCAGAGGGAAGGGAAATTGGAAAGTGGTAGAGGGAAAGGAAACTAGATAGTGGTAGAGGGAAAGGAAACTGGAAAGTGGTAGAGGGAAGGGAAACTGGAAAGTGGTAAAGGGAAAAGAAACTGGAAAGTGGTAGAGGGAAGGGAAACTGGAAAGTGGTAAAGGGAAAAGAAACTGGAAAGTGGTAGAGGGAAGGGAAACTGGAAAGTGGTAAAAGGAAAGGAAACTGGAAAGTGGTAGAGGGAAGGGAAACTGGAAAGTGGTAAAAGGAAAGGAAACTGGAAAGTGGTAGAGGGAAGGGAAACTGGAAAGTGGTAAAGGGAAAGGAAACTGGAAAGTGGTAGAGGAAAGTGATTGGTAAAGAGAGAGAGGGAACTGTTTAGTAAAGGAGGAGGAAAAGGACTCTGCAGTGAAATGAAGAGAGTGAAGAAACTGGAGTTAAGAGGGGAAGAGAACTTAGAGTTCAGAGGAGAAGGGAACTGGAAAGTAAATAGGGGAAAAAAACTATTTCGTGAAAAGGAGGGAGGTGAATGAAACTATAGAGTAAAGGAGGGTGCGAAGAAGGAAACCTGGAGAGTGAATGTAGGGGATTAACAAACTGGAGAGGGAAATGAGGGAAGAAAGAAAATAGAGAGTGAAATGGGGGAAGAAGGGACCTGGAGAAGGAAAGGGAGGAGACGGAAACTGGAGAGTGAAGGGAAAGGAAACTTGATAGTGAAGGGGAAGGGAACTGGATAGTGAAGGGAAAGGAAAACTAGAGAGTGAAGGAAAGGAAACTGGAAAGTGAAGGGGAAGGAAACTGGATAGTGAAGGGGAAGGGAACTGGATAGTGAAGGGAAAGGAAACTGGATAGTGAAGGGGAAGGAAACTGGAAAGTGAAAGAAAGACACAAAGGGGAGTTAATGGAGGGGAGGGAGAGAAGGTGGAAGAGGGGGTGGGCACGCCCAAGTGAAGGAAAGTTTATCCTTTAGCTAAGAGAGAAAGAATGAACATTGAACTGGATTGGATTATATAAAAACCTTGACATGGATTCAAAGGATTTTCTTTCTGTATTAAAGAACAAAATGACGGAACTTTTAAACGTCTGGAATATAAAATGACAAAGATTAGAGATACATTTCAACTGAGTTCCATTAAGTACAGGGTTCCCACAAAAGATGAGACTTTAATGACGACCTCAAATTCTTTAAATGGAACAACATAAGATTTCAATTTAATTTTCAATGACATTCTTTTACACTAATATTTACAAAGTTGAATATAGCTAGTTATGCATTACAGTAGTACGTTCGAATTACTATTCTAGCTTGTAATGCAGAACAGTAATGTTTTAATTACTATTCTAGCTTGTAATACAGAATAGTAATGTTCGGATTACTATTCTAGTTTGTAATACAGAACAGTAATGTTTTGATCACTATCCTAGCTTGTAATACAGAATTGTAACGTTCGGATTACTATTCTAGTTTGTAATACAGAACAGTAATGTTCGAATTACTATTCTAGCTTGTAATACAGAATAGTAATGTTCGGATTACTATTCTAGTTTGTAATACAGAATAGTAATGTTCGGATTACTATTCTAGTTTGTAATACAGAACAGTATTGTTCGGATTACTATTCTAGCTTGTAATACAGAACAGTAATGTTCGGATTACTATTCTAGCTTGTAATACAGAACAGTATTGTTCGGCCGGACACCCGCTTGTAATGCAGGTCATGATCGTATTGCTATTTTCTGGTAAAATCACAATAAAAATTCAAAGTAGAAAACTCAATTAATTATTCTTCGTCTTTTCATCTTATTTTATTAATTTTTGATTTACTCCCATTTTGCCTTTTTTGTCCTCTTTCACTAGCTCTCCTTTCTTTCTTCTTTATCCCTCTCCCCTGCTTCTATTTATTTCCTCTCACCTTTTTTCTCATCACTCTCCTTCAATACTTTCTTCCTTTTTTCCTCTTTTCTTAAATTTAATTTCCCCCTTTCTAATCCAACTTATTTTTCTCCTCTTCTTCCCCTATTCTTTTCCTTCTTCTACTTTTTCTCCTAATTTTCAAATTCTGCTTATCAAGGATATCGATAATAATTCCCATTCATTTTTTTTGCCTTTCTCTTTATCCTTTATCATGTTTTATTTTCCTTTTCTTTTTTTCCCACTTTCTTCAGATTTTTTTATTTTTCTTCCTCTTGTGTTTATTCGTTCGTGTTATCCTTTCAATCTGTTTCCATATATTTCCTACCTTACTTGTTGTCAGACTTATTCTGATATTGATATAATTCTTTTTTACATTCATCTTTAATAACTGTTCTGGTTTAGAATGCTTTCTAGGTTGGTGCAGTTTGTCTTTCTGTAATCTTTTACCCACCCCCCCC